TTATTTGAAATCCATTGGAGATAGATTAGGGAGGTGGGAGAAAGCAAAGTGGGGAAACCTCTGGGATTGGATAAAAAGTAAAATGATAGGCACATACTTTTTTTACATAGGTTGGTATAGGATAGTTAACAGTCAACAATTAACTCAGTAACAATTAGGGCATTTGTGGTCTCCACAGAGCAGTGCCTGCTCTTTGAGGGGTCTAGAAAAAGCAAAATTACTTTGACATTCCAATGCTATGTTATTGTAGACGCAAAAAGACAATAGACAGGCTCAGGTAAGGTAAAGATTGACCTATGTCAGGGAAGATACTGGCCTAGGACATTACTAGGCCTTTTTTTTTTTTCAATCCTCACCTGAAGATATTTTTCCCATTGCTTTTCAGAGAGAGTAGAAGGAAAGAGAAAGAGCGAGAGAGAAACATCAATTGGCTGCCTCCCACAGGAGCCCAGACCAGGGTGGGTAATCAAGCCTGCAACTGAGGTACGTGCGCTTAGATGCAATCAAACCTGGGACCCTTCAGTCCACGGGCTGAAACTCTATCCACTGAGCCAAAACAGCTAGGGCAGCTGCGTTTTAGTTTAAAAAGTTTTAATTTCAGACCACCCTTTGTGGTTACTTTAGGTCTCAAGTTTGCAAGGTGGCCATGCAGGCCTTCCCTGAGCTAATCAGGTTAGCACGTGGCCTCTTTTCGTCTACACTTCTTTCACCTGGGTATTTCCACTCCTTGATCCATTAATAACTATTCTCCTTTTATTTTTTGGCCTATGCTTTTTTAATCTTCTTGTTATATCTTCTATTACAACAGTTTCATATAAAGATGATCATAATCCAAGGATCTAGCCCATACCTCAACATCCAGGGGATATAGAGCTTGGGCCCTTAGATCAAGCAGGAAGAGATTTTCAATCCCAGGCTAGGCAGGGTCTATGCCCAATCTCAGCCTGAAGCAACTAGAGAAGAATCACCAACCCTTCATTCACCTTCCCATATGATTATGGGATTGAAATCTTTCAGGGGGAATGTATGAGTCAGGAAATTTAGAATAGGGAAAAAAGGCCTCAAGGTCTATCCTTCCCCTTTCTCATCCTGCATATGACTTATGCTGACTACTAGCCCCCCATTCCCCTGCTTTCCTGTCCCAATTTCTTGTATTTAAGATAAACAAAAACATTCTCAACCTGATTCAGCAACCTTATTGACATACAAATGACCAACAGGTCATTATAATATCATTGTAATAAATTTACATTGGGGTTTTGGAACCACTCCTCCCCCTGAATCACCATGACAATTCCAGGAGGACCAAAAAAGAAATCACTATCCAGACGGGAGAGAAGAGGACAAGCAGAATCAGCAGTCAGCCCACCAGCATCAGAAGCCGAGGACCAACCTATGCTCCCACTAGCCTACGTTTAATAAAAACCTTCTAACCCGACCCCGTTGGGGTGTCTATTTCCCTGAGTTTGCCAGCACCCTCTTCTCAAGTGAGTACTTTTAATAAATTTACTGTGCTTTGCTAAATTTTTCTGCCTTGCCCTCAAATTCTTTGTTGTGTGGTGACAAGGATCTGGACCCCACTATTGAATTAAGGCCTCCGTTGGCCTCCCTGGTGACCTCCAGCAAGACAGTCACGTAACTTTTTTTACAGTATATTGTCATAACTGTTCTATTTTATTATTAATTATTGTTGCTAATCTCTTTCTGTGCCTAATGTATAATTAAACTTTACTATAATATGTATATATAGGAAAAAACATAGTATTTATAGGATTCAGTACCACTGCCAGTTTCAGGCATCCTGGGACACTCAGAACGTGTTTTCTGTGGATAAGGGGGAACTACTGTACTTTTAACAAAAATATAATTGGTTATTGAAAAATAAATACATAAATACAGCCCTGGCCTGTGTGTCTCAGTGGTTAGAGCATTGGCCAGCACACCAAAGGTTGAAGGTTCAATTCCCAGTCAAGGGCACGTACGTGAGTTGCAGGTTCGATCTCCAGACACGGTTGGGGCACTGGCAGGAGACAACCAATCGATGTGTCTCTCTCACATCAATGTTTCTCTCTCTCTCCTCCCCCCCTCACTTCCACTCTCTCTAAAAATCAATGGAAAAAAATATCCTCGTGTGAGGATTTAAAAAATAAATACAAAAAATACATTAAAAAATAGAGTAAATATCAATTAACTTTTCAAAACTATGCAATTAAAATGTTTATATAACCAGGAGTTAATACTGTATACACTTTAAACATTTTATATACAAGCATCCTTCTTTAATTTTTACTTAAAATAATCTTTATTACCTTTCATATCAACTACATAAAATTAAATAAGTACACAATTCTTAGTTAGCTATAGAGACTAGGCAACTTTCACATGAAGTATAAAACCAAAGGCAACCTTTAGCATAATTAATTATAGTATTTCAGCAGATATTTTGGAAAAGGAAGTCTTCCAGTATTCCTAAACTATTAGTAAAATTTGATTAATCAGCTCAATGAATTCTGACAAACTAAAAATTGTCAACAAATTCTCCAATTACAAATACAAACTAACACAACTTTTGTAATTTTTTTCTTTTTCATTAACAACTTGCATAATCTATGGAACATCTTAATAACTTTCAAATAATTCAGTTATATATTAAACTTGTTATTATTCCAATTAAGTAAGATTAAAAAAAATGGGTTAAGTAAAGCAAATGTTTTTATTTTACTGTATGATTTATTTTTGTTTCTGATATTCTGAATATTCACTCCAAATGAAATAATGAAGCCACACTGTAAAGAGCTGAGATGTTAGGAAGTTTCTCTGGTGCTTTAAAAATGATCATATTCATGAACTATCTAAATTCAATTTCTTGGACTCTATCCTAGAAAATGTTTGATCAAAATACAGAAAATTATTTATGCACAAAATTGTTCAAATTGTTCATTGCGTTGTTATTTATAGTAGCAGAAAACTGTCAATATCCTATTATCAGAAAATAGTTATAAACAACTGTCCATATTCAGTATTATGTAGCCATTAAAATTACACTGACTTCAATTTTTAGTATCATGAGACTGCCTACGAGGCAGTTGAATTTAAAAAAAGCAAACAGAAAAGTAAATGCTATTTCAATTCAAACATGCTAAAACTGTATGTATGAAAGAAAGACAAAGCAAACTTTAACTGTAGTTAGTTCAGAATAATGTAATTATGGGTAATTTCGTTTTTCAACAATGAGCATGAATATTTTTTATACATATAACATTTTTTTCTTTATTGATATCAGAGAGAGGAAGGGAGGAAGAGAGAGAGAGAGAGACAGAGAGAGAAAGAGAGAAACATCGATTGGTTGTCTCCTGTACCTGCCCCGACCAGGGATTGAACCCCGCAAACCCGGCATGTGACTTGACGGGGAATCGAACCTGTAACCTTTTGGTATATGGGACCACATTCCAACCAACTGAGCCACACTGGCTAGGGCTATACATATTACTTTTATAACTGGGAGAAAAGAGGAGATATCAGTGGTTTTCATAGTTTATACTAATGTAGCAAAATGCCTATGTTTTCATGCAAATTTTTAAAAAGGAGTCTATAGAATCCTATGTGTGTGTGTGTGTATTTGTATGCTGGGAGGAAAGCATCTACATAGTGAAAAACAAGGAATACAACAAAACATCAGGTTATATGTCTAATACAGGTGATCTTTGAGTGACAGTATTTATGTCATTTTATTTTTCTCTTCAATCTTCAGTATTTTTCAAATTTTCTACAGTGATCAGTATCTCCTATATTTTTGTTTCATATAGAATAAGTGAATGGTTACTATTTTCTTTCTAGGTTTCAAATTCACAGACCACCATTTTTCTCCAGAGGAAAAAATAATTTGAAAATGACTATAAGCTGTACAAAAAATTCTAGTGAATAGAGATTTCCTAAATTAGTTTAAAGTCCTATAAATGCTAATATTTGAATTTTATATACTAGCAAGTAAATCAGCTCCCACATCCTTCATCCTTACCTTTTTTTCACACACTAATTCAAGATGAGTTTATAAAAAGGTTTATTGTCCGTGTTTTCTTACAATTTGGAAACTATAACTCACAATGATGTAAAAAGATTTAAAATATTCATTTTAGTAATAATTTCATTTTTTAAATAACTACACCACTAAATAGTAAGTAGATACAGACTTTTTGACATAAGTAGATATTTTAATAAAGGAGAAAAACCAGGTTACAAAACAGTACAGAGTATGACACCATTTTACCCCAAACTATAAAGAGATATTCACATATTTGCATAGGAAAATGGAGAGATAAGCACTATAAGTCAGTTAATGGTCATTTCTGGGTGGTGACAGTTTCTATGATTTTAACTTTTCTTTATAACTATTTCTACTTCCTAATTTTTCTTTTTTTTCTTTTTTAATATATCTTTATTGATTTCAGAGAGAGGAAGGAAGAGGGAAACACAGATAGAAACATCAATGATGAGAGAGTCTTTGATAGAGCCCGCAACCCGGGCATGTGCCATGACTGGGAATTGAACCCCGATCGCCTGGATCCTAGGTCAACGCTCAACCACTGAGCCATGCCCGGCCAGGCCTTCCTAATTCTTCTATAAAATACTTACATAATTTAATTAAAAGAATTAAAGTAACTCTATATGACATTTCAAATTTAGAGCATTAAAAAAACCTGATTTTAGCTACTTCAAGTGATCTAAGTCTTTTAAACTCACATATTCAGATAGCTAGTGCTGAAAAATATAGTATATGATTGATCCTAATTTGTTTCCATAACCTTTCTCATGATTTTCCCTTCTGCCACGATTATTATTACTGATGGAAGTTAGTGGATTCTTTAGCAATAGCATTTTTCTAAGCTTTTAATCAGCTTACTTAATTTAAAGCATAATAAGGCAGAACCCTCAAATGCAAATTTTTCATGAACCAGTTGCTTAACAAACATCAATGTAAAAAATAAGTAGATTTTTTTTACCTCGGTATCATAGGTTGGATTGTAGTCATTGTAACCAGAATAAAGGTCATCTTCATCTGTCTCCGGGGCCAGGTGTACATTCTGCATCATCTGTACCTAGGAAAAATCAGCAGTGTAAATATGCTCTTGGGATAAGAAATAATTCTTAATTGAAATAAAGTATAACTATTTAACAACCTTTCTGGTCAAATTTACCTCTACACATTTTTATGGCTTAAAACTTTTTTCATGTGAAATTCTCAAAACTAGGTGTCAAAACATTCATTCATTGCCCTTTCACATTCAATACAAACCTGCTCCATCAAAGGACAGTGACAAGCACTAGAGAGGGATATAGCTCATCATCCTTATTTTCAAGGAGCTTAGTATCAAGGGCAGAAAAAAGGTATGTAATAGTCAATGACAGTGCCAGGCAGAAACTACTGCACACCTATCAGAAGAGCTAAATTAAAAAGATCAACAACACAAAAGGTCAACAAGGACATGGAGCAACTGCAATACTCATTGTTGGTGGGCATGTAAAATGTTATAATTTTGGAAAAAAGTGTGGTGGTTTAATAAAACTAACATATATCTTACAACCTAGCAATTTCATTCCAAAGTATTTACCCAAGAAAAATGAAAACATGTCTACAAAGAGGTTTGTATAATAATGTTCACAGGAGCCTTACTGATAGTACCCCAAGATTAGAAATAGACCAGGTACCCATCAATACAATGGATAAGCAAAATGTGGTATATTTATGCAGTGAAAAACTATTCAGCATTAAAAAATAATTCATTGGGATTATATATACAGCAACATGGTCATTCTCCAACTTCAGATCAAATACAGATTGCTACTCCACACTGTTTCTGGTTCAGTAAGTCCTGGGTGGCAGTCATCACCACCCCCTTAGTCTCTGAGAATGTGCATTTCTAGCCAGTTTCCAATGCTGCTGACACTACTGGTCTGGGGACCACACTTTGAGGACTACTGTGCTGATCAAGAGCTGACTGATTATGAGCCCTGTTAGTTTGGCTTACACATACCTCATAAAAACAGCAACTTTTAGAACCAGAGCTCCATCCTTTCTGTTAGGTTGCAGCCAGCTTGAAAATAGTTTATATCTAGTGAATATACAAACTTGAAAGATGTGGAAAGTCAGGCCTGGAATGGTAAAAGAAGTACCCACTCTTACCAGGTAGGGGTGGCAGAACAAAGGTAACAACTCTGGCTTGCTGGATTCTGCAAGCTATTTCAGCAGCACTTTACGCACATCACAAGCCTCACGTATTGAAATGATCTGCCGAGGGTACCCTCTCAATGTAAATCAAATGCCAGCAAAACCTTTCTTTGAAATATCTGTTTTTATGATATTCTGCTAACTGTGCTGGACAATATCCTTCCAAGACGCCCACTGTCGTTCCTCTTAAAGCTCACAGCCAGGAAATCAACCGTGTAGAAGAGAAAGTGGGATTTGGGGCCTACGAGGGATTTGGGGAAAACTACTTCCAGTCTTTGCCTTCACCGTCGTGAGAGTGAGGATGTACTGCGGTGTGCGGGCACACACCGAGAATTGCACCTTTCCTGGGGCCACTTTTCGCAAGCTTTAGACGACATAGACATTAAATGGGAGTGTTCACCTCGTCTGCCGTGTCAAGCTCTAATCTGGTGCCAACTTTCCCCATTCAGGCGTGACTGTGACTTGGGACAGGCAGCCACACAAACTTGATGGCAATGGGCTCCCGCGTTCGGGGCGGACCGGCGGGCCCTGGGGGACTGTCAGCGGCGGCGAGGGAGGGA